AAAGCCTCAAAGTTGCGACGGAGCAATTCACTGAACAATGCAGGAAGCAAGCGCGCAAAGTAAAGTCCTGTTTTCCTGCTAGATGCCCTGTCCTGAGCGCGAGCAACGACTACAGGACCTGAGGTCTGCGCGGAAAGCATATCCTAACTGTCCTGAACCCCAACCACAGCTAGCGCGGCCAGAGGTCCTGAGCGTCTGTCCGGTGCATCCTGAGAGGCTGGCAGAACGGAAACCCCAACTAGCAAGAAAACTCCAACTTTGCCATCCTGATGGGCTCCTGACTGCCAAGGCTGCAAAGTTTTATCTCGGTTCCTGATACGGGGCGCGCAAAACTGAGCAAGCTCAAGGCACGGCACGGCCCACCCAAAAAAACCAAAGGCATCCGCAGCGACTGGTTTGCTGCAGCTCCAACCACAGTTCTGTTCGCAATATGAGACACAAAAGCCGCTCAAAGTCAGACTGTGCCGCGCAAGAGACTTGTGCACCTTGCGTTCACGCCCGGGACAAAAAGGTCGAATGCCTTTAAAGCGCGCAGCGCGCCAGCGGTGGGAGGTCTCCGTTCACGCTGAACGCCCAGCAACCGCGCGAAAGGCACACCTGGTGAAGGCGAGGTACTGCTCAAAGTCTGAGTCCAGCAAAGTCTCCAGAGCGCTGCGCCCCGCCAGCCTCAGCGTTGTACGGGTCTCAGATTGGCCTGGGAAGCTCCTCCAAGTTGGCCTGAGCAGAGACCTGCTGTCTAGCAAACTGACTTGGCAGAGAGAGGCTGCCCCAACATATCACGGCTCCATCCGGCCCACGGGCGTAGGCGCAACTTTCGCCGATGCTGGCGGTTCACTGCGTGACGGTTCCCCAAACGCGGGCCCTGCAACAACCACCGAGGCCCCTGCGACTGCGGCGGCACCTTGTGAGGGGCGCTGAAGCAGAGCTATCATCTGGGACCTGGGAGGCCTGCGCTATAGTCACTCGGCCGAAGACCTGTTGAAATCGACTGACCGCCATGTCCAAAGGCGCCCTAATCCGGCGCAGTCGCTCCAGGCAGTGGCCACAGCATCGGGATCTGAAGACAGCAACAGGCGTGTCTGAGAGCGTAGTAAGCTCTGCTGGTCCATGCCTCCCACATACAAGGTGTTGAGCCAAAATGGTAGTCACGTACCGCATGTAGAAGAATGAGTGCGTGAAGCTCAAAAATGGAACACGTCAACCCCGACAAGGGCTCGCAAGCCCAAGCGCCTCTAGGTCGTCTCGTTCTGCTTCGAATTCGTCACGCTCAGCCTGAACAGCCGGAAACATTGCTAGCGCAACATGTACGCAAGCCAAGCACAGCATCTGCAAAGCGGGGCGCCATGACGCGCAAAGTGTCGCGAGCTTCTGCCTGAAGATGCTACATGCGGCTTGCTCTTGATCAATAGACACAACATGTTATGGATTGGTGAAATCTCCGCGCCTTGACTGCTTCGATCTGGGCGTACGCTGATGACATCCAGAGGATCTCTTGTGATTTGCTCAGATCATTCTTACGTTGGTGGTCGCGCTGGCAATTGCTCTTGTGGCTGTGTCTTCGCTGCACACATACCGGAATGGATGGCTTGGCGTCCGTGCGTCAAGTTTCAAGCGAGCAAGTGGAGCCTGTTGTCCCAAGGTGCTGTGTTGTTTACGCTCGGCATATGAAGTGACGCAGCCATATATGAAATGACTGCTACACGTTCTGCAAGCCAAGCCCCCAGCTGCGTCCCACGCTGACCATCGCCTCACGTCAGTGATCTTCAGTGGCGGCATAGGCACCGCTGCCTTCACACCAATGGCCTTAGTGTCCTCAGCTGCGTAGGCGCTGCAGCAACCGAAGCCACGCTGGCTGTAGGCTGTTGGTTCGAGACTACCAAGTGTTTCAGCAGCTGGCGCATCTGAGTGATCACGCCAAAGACCGTCCAAAGGCGTGGTCTCGTTGAAATTGCCTCTGCTTGGTCCAGACTTCCAGCCCACTCATATTTCATTAGTCACAACCTCACTTTGCACTAACGAAGCTGAGGCATCTGAGGCAACGACGCGACGCCTTGACAAGCAAACAACACCCAAGTCAGGGCGACAACTGCTCACAGCACCACCCGTCCTCCACCAAGGCATGCTGCCGCGCCGCTGTGAGCAGGTTCGCGTTGCTGCATACGCCTGCAGTGGCTCAAACGATAAGGCTTCTGACTCATGCATTTTCGCATTGCGCCTGTAGAGCTAGATGCCGATGAATCCAGAAGGAGGCCAAACTTTGCCTGCCCAGCGTTTCGACTGGCGTTGGACTTGGACTCCGCAACAATCAGCCACCTGCCTGCTGCAGCCCCTGGACCAAAGCACGCCAGGTGAGCAAGAGGCGCATCGCAACCGTGCTGGTCATCGCGGCAAACGACCAAGCATTCAACTCGCAGACCCCCTGCTGCGTTAAGGACTCTTGCTGAGAAAGAGCACGCGTCGCTTCTTATGCCTTGTTGAACTGGGTCCACGCTGTGGTTCGTCCCCATTGCAGTGGGCGTACAGTTTAGCACAAGGCAACACGGCAAGCTTGAGCCATCTTGAACCGAAGGAACGACGAAGGTATTCATAGCTCCAACCGGGGTGGCAGCGACAAGCCATGGCAACGCATGCTTACCGCTTGAAATCTTTCATGTGGCTGATCTTGGCTGGCGTACAAGCTGAGGTTTGCCATGTTGCACTATTTACTGTTCCGGAAATCAATGTTGGTTTTTAAAAGGCCCCTGGTCTTACTGATGCCCTTCTTCAACGATCTTTGTCTGTTCCTGGCTGACTGCGCAGCTTGCCGTTACGCTGACGAATCCCATGATCTGGTCAACAGCAACCTATGCACTATGATGACCTCCTTGAAGTTAGCATACACCGCGGCAGTCCTGGTATGGCTCATGGCAAGGTTGTGGTGCGCTTGCGCAGACGCTCAAAGGCTTACGCCAGAGACGCCAGGCAAACGAGTTGGAAAGCGACAAATAACCGGATATTCAACAATTCCTTTGGGCGTATGGCTTGGTCTTAAAACTTAAAAAGATGTCAGCTGGCGAGAGCTTTTGACAGACACGGACCCCTCGGGACACCCACCCACGCGGATTATGCACTTCTTGCCGCGGGATGGGAGCCAAAGGTCTAACCACAGGAGTTGACAGAACCATACCGAAATAAGCAAAGAAGTCTAACTACAAAAGTTGACAGAATCACCCAAACAGAAGCACCAGAGCGCCACAGCCCTTTTGTGTACCCGGCTCTTGCTTTGCAACAGTTGTTCCTCTACTTTGGCGATTAGGCCCCTTTGCCCTGTTGGGTGCCCGGCTCTTGCTTTGAAGCGCTTGTTTCTCCACCTTTTCGGTTTGACCCCTTAGCCCTTTTGGGTATCCGGCTCTTGCTTTGACGCGGTCACTTTTCCGGTCAGACCTCGTAGCCCTGTTGCGGTTCCCGGCTCTTGCTTTGAAGCGGTTGTTTCTCCATTTTTGCGGTTACACCTCTTAGCCGTCTTAGCCCTTTTGTGTACCTGGCTCTTGCTTTGAAAAGGTTGTTTCTCCACTTCTGCGGCTGGACCTCTTGGCCCTTTTTGTTACCCGGCTCTTGCATTGAAACGGTGGTTTCTCCACTTTTGCGGCTATTGTTTCTCCACCTTTTCCGGTCAGACTTCTAAGCCTTTTTTGGTGCCCTGCTCTTGAAGCGACACCGTTGTTTTTCAGTCTTGCGGCTACACCTCTTGGCCCTTTGTGTTGAAACGGTTGTTTCTCCACCAAGAGCCGAGTACACAAAAGGTCTAAGAGTTTTAAACCGCTTCTGAGCAAGAGCCGGGTACAGATGCCCCATCGATGCAGCTTTGCGGAGGGGCGTAAACGTTATATGAATGATGACCCAGCTGCCCGCAAGACCATGAACATGAACGATCATCAAAAAGCTGAGGCTACAAACCTCATAATTAGCCTCATAGCTTCCGACTTTCAGGCCAGCTGGATAATCCCTGGACAAAAAGAAGGTATATAGCGCAAGCTTGCAGCTTTCTGTTTGCTGGCGGTGACACTCACCAAGGCCTCCAATAAACTAGAAGCCTGCAAACCCAGATATCGTGCATCTGAGGGGACGCAACCGGACATCGGTCCCAGACAAACATCGGTGTAGTAACTATACCGATTTCGTTTTCCGGGGGCGGTACAGTACCGAGCCGATAAGTATGATTCAGCAAGTCGCAGCAACAGCTGCCTTCTCCAAGGGACGGCCGGCGACGGGCAGCCTATGCCCCGAACGGAATCCATTGCACCAGCTTCATTCAACTTTAGCTGATGCATTAGTGGCTTGGCAGCGACTTTCTGGCTGGCACGCGAAAGCTGAGCAAACAAGTAAGGTGCTCAAGTGCAATCCCGCCCAAAGCCGGATGGCAGGATACAGACTGGGACGCCTGAGGGGCTGAACTCAATCTCCACAGTTTGCCAGAGCAAAGGCCAATGACGTAGATGACCAGGCCAGCTGAAGCCAGTACAATGGTAAGCAGTTCAAGTGTCTGAGGTGCTGTGACAGTACGCCCAAAGTCAGAGCTGACGATATGTCTAGCCGGCCTAGCCCTCAACAGATTCTAGGCTCTGTCCTGGCCGGGTGGCCTCAGAGCCTAAACATGGGGTGAGCATAGACAGGTCCCACCCAGACTCCCATAATTAGCACTGGCTTGTTACACTCACATACGTGTTTCTTCCAACAAGGCCGTCAAAACCCAAATCCAACACGGAGGAATGTTGCAATGCAAATGCCCTTTGTGAGCGCAGGCAATGTCTACTGCGGCAGGCCCAGTTACAGGGCCAGCTGCAAAGCTTGAATCGATGGCCGCGCCGCGCCGGTGATCCTGAAAATCCGGCCCTCCGCTGAGCCACGGCAGGTGAGACCTCGTGAGACCTGGGAGCCTGTTCTGGTTGACAAGGGCCCTCACGCCCTCCGAGAAAATTCCTGGTCCTAGCTGCTACCACCGCTACCACTCCTTAGCTGGCTTAGCTCTCGTGCGCGTCCTCCTGGCCACGGGCCTGGATCCTTGCAAGAGGCGGTCGTGCTAAGCTGGCTAAGCTGCTAAAAGTTCATTCCATTCCAGCTGGGTGCCATGCAGCTTGGCGATCAGACCAGTCCAGCCGGTTTGATGCGAGGATCCCACGCCACGGCCGTTGTCACCATGGAAGTACCTACCGTTGCCAGACAAGAAGTTGGGACAAAATCGTTCACTTTAACAGGGAACTCGTAGAAGAGAAGGTTCTGTTCGAAGTGCTCCTCCTTCATCTTCGGATGCAGACGCATCCCTGGCCGGTGACCGTCCTGCAAGCGGACGTCCCTTCTTATCCGGGACAAAAGGACTCACAAAGGAGACAAAACTAATTTGGGCGCGAAGTCTCAGGCGTGAGCTCGATTTTACATTGAAAAATGATGAAACATGCTTAACAATAGTGAAAATCATGAAAACATGAAAATGGTGAAAAAAAACATGGTTAAATGTGACATATCATGAACTACCAGTCCTGAAACATGGTGAAAATCATGAAAAATGATGAACAATGATGAAAATGGTGCAAATGGTGATCAAAGATGAAAAGTATGTTATCATGGCAAAACATGGAAACTGCTGAAAGATGATAGAAACTGATGCAACATGATGTATGTGATGAAGAATTGCGAAAATATCAATAATGAAAAACAATCATGAACATCACGGAAAATGATGAAATGATCTAACATGACGAACAGTGGTCAAGCATGGACCCCCTAAAAAAAAGGCGGTCTGGGTTGGGAGGGGCGCAGCCCCCCCAGTGCAAACAAAATTATCTGCGGATCCATTTTTCATGATGATGACACGGCGCTTCTTTGACACGGCAAAAGTGAATGGCTAAAAAAAAGGTCGGGCGCGGGGGGAGCCTCTCCCATGCGCAAACAACATGATCTGTATAAGCATTCCTGACTGCAAACTTGCAAACATGGTGATGACATGGTGCTCCTTTGTTTTAGCATGCACGGAGGGCCTTACAAAAAGCGTTGGGTTGGGGTGAGGTGGGTGGGCGGGCCCCCCCCACCTTGCAAACAACAAGGAAAGAGGTGATGAAAGATGATGGAAACTGCTGAAAGACTATGAAATCTGAAAATCCATGAAGAGCATGGACAATTATGAGGAAGCATGGAGAATTATTAGCCAATATGAATTTGATAAACAGTCATGAAGGTTATTGAGCTAAGCAGAAAGAAAGAAGCAAGAAACAACAAACAACAATCGCAGATAGCAGCAATCGGGAAGCTGAGCGCAGTCAACGAGAACCAGCAAGCTGAAGGAGATCGCAGGCAGCAAGACACAAAAGCAAAAAGCTAACAGCAAAAAGTAAGGAGCAAGAACGATAACAAAGCCAGAAACAAAAAGCAACATGCAGAAAGCTACAAGCAGAAAACAAAAGCAAAGGCAAAAAAGCCAGAGGCGAAAAGCAGAAAGCAGAAACGCAGTAGACAAAAAAAAACATCGACCTATAAATTGTGCGTTGCAAGTGTACGGACACGTCCTCAGCCTTCAAGAAAATCTTGATGAGTCGCTCCGAGAGCTCATCTGCAATCTTCAGGATGCTCATCTGCGGTGAAAGGAGATAACCAAGGAACTTCCGCTTGGGGTTTGTGGAAGATCCTGTGTCTGCCCACCAACATTCCGGAAGCTTTGACTGAATGCCTCGCATAGCAAGGCCTTGTTGCCAGAGCCAGTTGGGCACTCAATGAGATACTCGTCCCCATAATACTGGTGGAACCTCGGAATCTTTATGAGATGAGGACGCTCCGAGATGGACCTTTTGAAACGTGCACTGCACAGAGAGCGCCGCTTCTGAAGAGACTCGATTAGGAGGTAGTTGATGGGAAACCTGGTTGTGATTCCAGCAAAGTCACCGGCTCAAGGCTCAGGTCTGCAGGAGAAGCACCAAACAGGCCCTCTCCAGTTAGAGTTGCCACCCATGATGATGACAGTGGCCTGCTTGCGGCAAGATGGACAACCTGTGTCAGGCAGAGTGAATGCAAGTGCTTGGCCTCTGCTGGCGCGTACTGCAACGGAGGCCCATCACCAAAGGCATAGGGATTCTGATCGTGGTGCTTCGAGAGCCCCTGGGGAATCCAGACTCAAAGGATTGCAGAAGCAGCAAGATTGGTGTAAAGCGTTGCCGCCAGCATCCTTGTTTCCTGACGCGTTTTTCAAATCAAAGGTGTGACCATGCGACACACCAACATAGGGCTAGCCGGCTAGCCGATGCACAGCACAGCTTTCCCAGCAGGGACGTCATGCAAGTTGCGCGCTTGCTGCTATGTCTGCAGCCTGTATGGAAAACAGCGCTGGAACAAGCAGGTAGCTGGCAGCAAGAGGCACAAAAGTTGATTCCGCCAGCTGCTCTTTTCCCAAAAAACAAATTAAAAGGATGCAATCCTGTCATGTAGCCGAGACAAGCCCAATGAGTTTAAACACACTTTCGGGTGAGATTTCTTTGATCACCGCACGGTGTATTGCTGTAAACAGCGGGAACTTTTTCTCAAGTCCACGTTTTTCGATCATTGCCCATACCTGAAGTCGGGATGAAGCGGCCAAGCCTCTCTCATGTGCAAGTGAAGTGCCAAGTGCCAAGGCGCATCCTTGCAAGTGGAAGGGCCCTGGAGCTTCTGGCCAGAGAGCAGCTCCGCCTCAATGTCTGCCCAGCTCTTGGAGGAGTCCCTGGCAAAGGCCTCTGCCTTGACTTCATCACAAACGCACAGACCACTGCAGCTGTGTCTTTGTCCCCAGGGCACGGGCGCACATGCGGTTACGTCCGCTGTACGAGGTGGTGAGGAGGTCAGCCAGGCCGCAGCTCTCCAGGAGCGTGTCCGGCGAGGAAGTTGGGTAGAGCTCCTGCACAATCACGGAGCGCACAGCCACCAGGAAACATATGAATTACGCACAACGTCTCATAGAACGGAAGCTGAACAAACAGCCTACTTCGAATCAAACAGAAACACCTCCACTTTGCATCAGGCGTTTTAACTTTCTCCCTGTAACCTTGATGAGTCTGGCCATCTCTTGCAAGCCCCTTCTGAGGATGGCAGCTTTGGTGTTCGGAGGGAAGCCGAGCCCGTCCTTGGCAAAGCAAACACGAAAGGTTCATGGTCATTGACTGACGAAGATGTGCCGACTTTTCAATGTCAAATACTACTTTCGTCCACCGTAGCAGCACTCTTCACAGTAAAGCGGACCACTTAATACCAATAGCCATGCCATGCTGTGTTCAACAAGCTTGGTTGCTGCTGCCAAGGCTCACAGAAGCCCGCGGCAAGGGCCACCACGTTTTTCAAGCCTCCAAAGAGCTCAACACCCAGGACGTCAGGCGTGGTGCGCACACTGAACTGCGGTGTGTTCAGAAGGTCCCAGAGCACCTGAAACAAAGCCAAATCACAACGCCATCCGTGCTTTTGCCATGTGCCCTGCCTGGGACTGGTCGCTGGTGCAGCCAAGGGTGGCCTGTCTCTGTTTCCCTGCTTTGCGCTTGTGACCGGCAACCCGGCAAACAGCCTTCTCCTTCTTCTTTCTCTTCTTGCGTAATGCGGGTTATGCGCATACAAAGGGGAATGTGCCAGGGACATGAGCCAAAGCAGTATTTTTGGAGGGTCCGGGTATTTCCCATGACGTCCCACGTCCCTGAGCATTCACACAGTGTAGCTAGCAGAGTCCCTTTAAAAACACCCATATTGCGCCTCTGACGGGGTTTTGGGACGGCTTGCTCTAAATTCAGCTGCGGTCTGTTTCACCCGTGGCGTGTTGATTCACCCAACTGCGCAACGGCACAGCAGCGGCTGAACATGTTGGCCTTGTAGCGGGCCTCACTATGTCGCAATCCAGGGGGTGATTACAGCGTGGTGGAAGTACACAGCCCATACACTCACTAGAGCAAGCCTGACATACCACCAGAAAATTCTACACGCAACTATGGGAGGCACTACTGCCCCCTCCGGAGCACAGCTCCGAGCCGTGCGGTCTCAGGTCTGGTCCCACTCCGGAGGCCCGAGATACTGAACAAACAGGTCCCACATCACGAAAAGATCCCAGCGTGTAGCTCTCGCTCTCTTTTTTCCTCTTTTCTTGTACAGCCCTATGCAGCATCTAAAGAGTCTTTCTTTCTTTCGTTCGGGCTATGGAGCAGAGCTGGAGCTCCCCTCCGGGCTTCGATGCCCAGCTGTCTGGTTGGACTACACCCCTCGTGTTGTGAGGCTTTTCCAGGCATGTACTTACAACATGTAACCTACCATTCTACCGCAATGGTTATTCCCTTTGACCTCACAACAGTATCCACTAAGCAGCCTATATCACTGCTTTGGTGAGCAAACTCCCGGATCCATGTCACAGTTAAAATTAGTTGAGGGTAATTTTTGGGTTTTGTGGAGTTGCTCTTCCCTGTTGTGAAACTCTTTGGGCAGGTGGCAAGTCTGTTGCCTTGGCGCATCACTTTCCTTTTTGATGGGGGTTAACTGCGAAAAACAGCTTAACAATCGAAAACTATCCCCTCATAATGTGTCTTTAATGTGATGTCCTAGTGGTGATGCTTGCCCATTCCAACCTGTGTCATCACTCGTGCGCTGTTCTTCACCCTATGGTGTGTAAATGACAAGCTCTGCAGGTAAGTGATGTCTTTAGACTTTTGGCGCTGGTGTGACTGTTGGCTTGATGTCGTGACTACACATGGCTTGCTTACTATTTTGCAACGTATGGCCTTTTGCCACCTTGTTGTTTGGCTTGATGACTTCGTGTTCTTACCTAAAGGGGGGAAAGTTGGGTGACTATGGCCCGTCGTCTCTCAGTAGGCGACGTGGATGAGCTCAGATGTTGCCGGCGCCCCACTTCGGCTCATCTTGCTCGGCCTCCTCTGTCTGCAGCTCGTCCTCGATGTTGTCCAGGTCTGGCTGCGTCATTGGTGGAGGGTCGAGTGGAGCCTCAAAGATGTCACTGCGGTGTGGCGGCGAGCGGCTTCGTTCTCGTTGGGTTGGCTCTCTTGCTAGGTGTCCTAGAATCCACCATGGTTGTGTTGCTTCCTGAAGGATGCGTGTTCTGGTTGGGTGGTCCAAGTATGTAGGTTGGTGCTCTGTCCTCATCTTGTTGTGTCGCTGCTGTTGTGGTTGATGCTTCTTGCTTCCCTGCTTGATATACGCGCGTGCCCAGTACCCACCATGGTTGAGCTTGCATGGCTGGAGGATACGGTGATGTTAGCTGTTGTCCTTGTGTTTGTGGTAGTGGTGGTTGTGGTGGTTGTGGTTGTAGTGGTGTTGGCTGGTGTTGCTCCCGTGTTTGTTGTTGTGCTGCTTCTGCTGTTGTTGCTTGGTCTGGGGCTTGGGAGTCTTGGCTGTCTATGGTGATCACGTCGTTGTGATGTGGATGGTTTGTTGGTTGGTAGCGGTGTGTGGACATGATTTTGGTTGCCAGGCTTTGTATGTGTGTTGTTAGTGTTTGTGCTATCTGCAACGATAGCTCCAGCTCTTCTCGCGTTGGTGGTGGTAGTGGGGGTGATGCCATTGCGTGTGGTGGTGGGAGTTGGCTGTTTGCTTGCGCGTAGACCTGGTAGCGTAAGAGGTCCCGAAGGACTGGGAGGCCATGCTGTAAGGCCGTGAACGGTGGTTGTTGACTAAGGATGGTTGCAAAATGTGTGCTGTTGTTGGTGGGTGGTGGTGCCTCATGGCTGCTGCTGCTGGCCTGCTGTTGCGGTGGTAGTTGGCAGTCCCCCTCTTGGCTCTGCTGTGGCTTGGTTTTTGCTGGTGCTGGCTTGCTTTGGATGCCTTCTTTGGGTATGGGTGATCTGGTTGTGGTTGTGGCTGCTGTGGCTGTTGTTGCCCTGCGCCGCTGGTTGATTGCTCTTCTTTGTCTTGCTTCCGTCTTTGTTGTGTCTGTGGCACTGCCTGCTGCATGAATGCTGCCTCGTCTTGTGCTTCCTGCTCCTCTGGCCGTGTGCATTGCTCTGCTGCAGCATCCTCTGTCTGCTCTGGCAGTGGATGTGGCTGTGGCTGTGGTTGCCCTTCCTCTTCCTGTTGTTGGACTGAAAATCATGGTAAAATCTGGTTGCTTGTGGATGTGCCTGGTAGGGTTCTAAGAGGTATTGCATGTGGTCCAGTCTGGTCAGCTGCCACACGCTTGGTGCTGCTGGCAGTGCGCCTCCTGCCACTCTCATGTTCTGGCTCTGCGGAGGTTCTTGGTCTTCGTTGCCTGCAGGGGGCATTCCTTGCGGCCTCGTTCCCTGCGACCTTGTACCAGCGGGGTGGTGCCTCTTTGTGGAAGTATTGGAGTCGGGCAGCATAGGCTTGTTCCCAGTGGCGCAGGGGCCCATGTTTCCTGCCTTGGCTGGGTTTGCTGGCTTGGTTGTGAGTGGTGTGTTTGCGCTGCGTCTGGCTGGCGAGGTGTGCTTTGGCCTGGTGCTGTTGCTTGGTCAGGCGGTTGTTCTGTGGGTGGCTGCATGCTTGGTTGTGATGGGCTGGTGGCTGCTTCATCTTGCTGCTCTGCTTCCCGTGGTTGGGTGTTGGCGGTGGCATGTTGTTGCCTATACTTGGCTATGGAGCTGGCCTGGTGTTGTTGCTGTGCTTCTTGTGTTTGCGGACCCCACCTGCGCGGTCTCTCTGCTTGACGTTGCGTTGAGGCTGCGTCGCGGTCATGTGGTAGGTGGGCCTGGCTAGGTTTTGCGGGCTGCGGGGACTCGCTGTTGTGGCTTGGGTTCTTGCAGCTGCCGTGTCCAACCAGAGAAAACCCAATTCACACAAAGCCACGACACAGACAAGCCATCCACCATCAAGCTGGGTAAGGAAATGATCCGAGCCAGGGCCCCAAACGTACCGATCAGCGTATTCAACCAACCAGGGGAATGAAAGCCACCTTGCAGCACACCTTGCAACCAAAGCCAGGATTGCCTCTCACAAACAAAGCCACATCCTCACATCAGATGCCCCAATCCTAGCCAAGCTCAAACTGATTGCCACCACAATAACAACCTCAGCCCTGTGGGGATGTGAAAGTTGGCCAGTGCACCACACACACACACTGCTCACAGCAGCCAACACAGCCCAATACAGAGTGGTGGCAAGAGCCATGGGCCTGAAGAGGAGGCCTGGAGAGAGCGAGCTGACCACTGCCAACGCCAATTCAGACAGACCACGCTGGCAATTTACAAAAGTCACCATGTACGTTGGTCAACGCACATTCTCCAAGCCATACGGGTGGATGTTAAAATGATGGTCCCTTTTTGGGTCCGTGTAATAATACGGCGCCTAACTTTTAGGGTACCCAAAAAGGGACCATCATTTTAACGTCCACCCATATGGAAACTCCACGGGCGCATCGCCCGTCAAACAACAGCAGCACCTGACAGCGCAACACAGGCAACCCCCCTACGGCGCAACCTCAGCTGGTGGAAGGCAGCGAAGCCACGAGGCACGAGACACGCAGGTGGAACGGTGTATAGTCCACATGCCGGGGCTAAGTTGGCATTTGCGTTATGGCTGGCGCTGCTTTGACTCTTGGCTGGGTCTTGCTTCCTGTGTCTGCTGCTGCTGCTGATGGCATTGGCTGTGATGTTCCCGACGTGCTTGCTGTGGCCTTGGCTTGGGCTGGCGGTGTCTGGGTTGCAGGTTGCCTCGATGCTGCAGCTTCTGCTTCCAGTTGTGTTGCTTTTCTCCTGTCGGCCGCGGCTGCCTGTGCTTCTTGGGCTGCTTTTAACCTGGTTGGATGTACTCTGAGTCGCTCTGCTTGTTGCTGTGCTGATTGCGTTGTTTGTGGGTCGGCGGCGGCCGATGCGTTTGGCTCTGCTTCCGTGTCTTCCTGTGGCTCCGGTTGCCGTGACGGGTGTGTGTCTCACCAGGGCCTGTGGCGCACTGCGTACGGTGGGCTGTCCAGCTCTTGCTGCTTCCCCAGACCCACTCCGCCCAGGTCATTGTATGACAGTGTGGGTTGGTTGCTGTTGGCTGCTGCGTTTGCTCGCCTCCTCCACCATGCGTTGTGAGTTGCTGCGATTGTTGCGCTGCGGTTGCCTGCCCGCGCGGGACGGCCTGTGCGTTGGCCATTGTACTGCTCTGTGCTTCTGTGGTGGGTTCTGCTTGCTGCTCTGGCCAGGCTTGTTGTTGGTGTTGGTATGCCCAGGGCCCAGGCTTGGTCTTGCTGGTTCCTGTGTTGCCAGTCCCACGCGGTCTGGCTTTGTTGCTGTTGCCACTGTGGCTGCTGCTGCTGCTGCTGCTGCTGCTGGTGTTGTTGTTGTTGTTGTTGTTGTTGTTGCCAATTGGCTCCCCACCAGTTGCGCCATCCACTTGGCTGGTGCCACGTTCCTCGTCGCCAGTCCTGCTCTCCGTGGTTGCTTGCCTCACTCCGCCACCTCTCCTCCTCCGTGGTGTTGTCGTCCTGGTTGTCTTGGTTGCCCGGCGATGGCGACGGTGCCCATCCGAAGCCGAAGGTGAACGCCACTGCAACGGAACGAAGTGCCATGTTGGCTTGGTGGCAAAGGGGGCATGGGTCTTCTCTTTGCCTGAGGCTGAGGTCTGAGTGCTGCATCACACGAAGCTTGAGGCCTGTTTTGCAATGCGTCCCCTGCAGACTGCACATTCAACGGGCACAACCTGTCTGCTCTGCGCATGTCTTGCACTAACTGGCTTGACTGCATGCTACTGGCTGCTCTCCCCTTCCAGCTGCGCAAGTATTTGGTGCCAAGCTTTGTCTTTCTTCTGCTTCGGTCTTCTTCTGTTTCTTTTGCGGCGTCTGAGCTTGCTGTAGGTTGTGTCTTGATGTTGGGGTGTGGCTGCGCGATTGGGCGGTGGTCTGTCATGTATCATGAGCATCTGCGGTTTGCTGGATGGGCCTGTCTGGCGAAGGTTCTGTACGCTTGGCTGCTTGCCTGTGCTCCACGGTACGTCGCGCGCTTGGATAAATGCGTTTTGCATCTGCGCCCAGGTCTGCCTTTGCTGTGCCGTGTGCATCGAGGCGCTTCTCAAGGTCTGTGGCCATCTTTTGTAGTCTGGGAAGGCTTGTGGGCCCCATAGGTGGAAGCCCCAATCTCTTGACATCCTCGCCATTCTTCGGATTGTTGTCAGGAGCTCGCTTGCTTGTTTGCCTGAGCGCGCGTATTGATGTATCGGTGGCTGCTGTTGCAGGATGTGATTGCACCTGTATAGAAGCAGTTGCGCCATGGTTCTGTCAATGGTGTTGCTCAGTGTGATCGGCCGGGTGTCTTTCCATGTGGAAGGCTGTGCTGTTTTGGGGAGGAGGACGGTGATGTCCTGAAAGTCCCGAGACGGGCTTAGGCCTTTGCACAGCGTGTCGTCTAGTGTCCATATGAGTTTGGATGCGGCGCTGTTGTGGGAGGGGAAAAAGCTCAGTGCCTCGTTGGACACGCGATCTGGTCCTGTTGCCTTCTTCCTTCGCCATCTCGCCTGTATGGCTCTCAGCTCCTTTTCCTCCACGAGTTTGTAGGGTGTTTCCTTGCAGCGCTGCTCAAGTAGTTGCCTCATTTTGGCGAACTCCTCTCTGACCTGCTGGCCGGGTTGTTGTTTGAAAATGTCTTCAAAATGCTTTGTCATCTGCCGTCGCCAATCTTCTTTGGTGATAAGTCTGTGGCCCCACTGCATGCGCTGGGGGTTTTCTTTGCTCTGTCTGTGTGCTTGCCAGTCACCCTTGGCTGCTTTGACTGCCTGCGCATGGTCCCATCGTTTCTTTTCTCTCTTGTGAGCTGATTGGATGAGCTTCCAGGGTTGCCTTCTTTGGTCCTCCGGGATCTGTCGTGTTACCAGCTTGTGTCTGTGTTGTTTGAGTTGTCTGCTTTCCTGGAATTTTGTTTTGGGGTATGCTTCTGTTACGCTGAGCGCCAAAGCTGTGAGGCTGTCCCACGGGTGGGCCACGGGTGGCGGGGACGGGACTTGCACACCTAGCGCTTTGAGCTTGATCGGGTGATGTGTGAATGTTGGCTTGGGCTGGTGGCTCGTGGTTTTGGTGGTGACTGTTGCCATGACTGCTTCATGGTCACTGAGGGCGAGGTCTCTGGATCCCTGGATGCTTATGTAGTCTAGACGGCGGCTGCGCATGGTGGTATTGTATGGGTGGTATGATGGTACGTCGTCTTGTTGTGGTAGCATGTGTTGTTTCTGTTGCGAAAGCCAGTCTAGAATGGTCTCCCCCCTTGCTGTGGTAGCTGTCTGGTTGTGCGTGGCAAAGGTTTCATTCCAGTCTGCGTCTGCGTCTATAATGCATGGGCGGCGTTGAAGCTGTGGATGGTTTGTTTGCCAAGTGTGTAGCAGGTGGTGTGTCTGGTCCAGCGTGGCGTGGTGTGGTAGGTGTGCCGAGAGGATGTGTATTTGGCTGCCAGTGCTTGTGTGTAAGGTTGCTGCTATGCTGGCTGTTGCTGTGGTGGGTGTGTCTATGTGTGTTATGGCCGGGGCTCTGAAGGCGATGCCTGTGCCTCTCCACTCTGTCTCCTCTCTGTGTGCCAACACAGTCCATTTGTACTCGCTGCAGCACTGAAGTCCTGCCTCTTCGAGGGCAACTTCTTGAAGCATCCAAATTGCCCAGTTGAGGGTGATTTGCCAGGTGATGGAATGTGTGAGGAATGTCCGAAAAGGAACCCCCTCCCAAGTTCCAGGTTGCAAGGTGCGTGTGAAACTGTTGCCTGGTTGTTGGGTTTGCTGTTGTATGTCACTGCTGCAGCAACCGGTCTAGCAGGACATTCCAGGCTGCCACGATGGCCTCTTTGCTCTTGTTCGTGTAACTTCCCACCGCTTCCGCGTCCAACCAGCCAAGTGGGGACTTTGTTGTTGCCTGCCCCTGCGGCGGCGGGGCTGTGGCACTGGCGATGCGCCGCCCCTGGTACCAGAGTGTCCCTGTGGCAAACTCGACCTGCAGGTTGTCCTTCTCCGCACCTTGTTCAGGTACTGTAGTAGCCGTTTGACTTTGCCTGCGTAGCGAGCCCGATTCCTCCGTTCCGGTGTTTGGGAGTATGCGAGCCAAAGGTATTTTGGTTGTCCATCTGGGTTCATTGCTCCTGTTGCTTTGCGGGCTTGCCTGACTTTTTGGATGGCTGCTGTGAGGCGAACATGCATGTTGCCTTCAGATTCATTGTTTCTGGGCCCGCAGGGTACAACGAGGTAGCCTCTGCGCACTCCCTGCACGAAAGCTTCCTCCATGTCCACTTCGAGCTGCAGGCTTGTGACCGCGTCCTTCGCCAATTGGAGTGTCACGTTGGCATCCTGATCATCCGCCCATCCCCCCATAATGAGCCCTGTCTTCCACGGTTGTGGTGGAATTTGTGCGTGGCTGCCTTGGTGGGTTGGACTCAAGCTTGGTTAGACGTTGCTGGATGGACGTGATGGTTTCCTTGTTTAGCTTGTTTTGCTGTTGCATTGCAATCAGGTCAGTTGTATGCTGGCTTTGTGTGTTCGTGATGGCCGTGAGGAGGTTCACCTGTTCTGGCATGCGCTCCGTGAATGCAGTTTCGACTTGGCCCACGCGGGTGTCAATGTTTCCGATCTTTGCAAGTAGTGGCTGGATTGCAAGCGTGAGGGGCGTGCCCTCAGGGTTGTTGTGAGAGGGGCCCGGTCGCTTGTTGGCCGGGCTTTCCACGTCAACATCGATTGCCTTGCTTGGAGCGTTGGCTGCTCCTGATTTCGCCGCCATTGTGAGGATTGCCTGGGGTTCTTGCCGATTGCACAATCTCTCCCAGCACAAAGTCAATCTCCCAAGGTAGATGGTGCGCTGAAAGTTGCTGTCTGGGTAGGTTATCACCGGGTTAATGGGCAGTTGTGCAGCGCCTGACACCGAACTGGAGCGTCCGCAGCAGCGTTCTTGTGCAGAAGGTGGTTAGTGAAGACGCGTAGTGTGCGAACTTGCCCGTGTTCTTGTATGGCGGAGGGCTCGGCGAGCGATGGATCTAAAGCCTCGCCCCACACGAAGGAAAGGAGGAGTGTTTGGGGCTCACAGAATGTGTTGGGGGGCTTGATGCTCGCGGCTTGAGCAAGAGTCTTTCTTTCTTTCTTTCGGTCAGGCTATGGGAGAAGGCCTAGGCCTCCCCCCGGGCGTCAATGCCCAGCCCGTGTTGGGCATGATGAGCAAGAGTCTTCTTTCGTTCATTGATGAGCAAGAGTCTCTCTCTCTCGCTCTCTTCTATGAGTTTCGCTCACCCAAGGCCCCCATAGCCGCACTGTCCGTCTGGTCGGGTCAAGTGAGGCCCGGAGTCCTCCCTACTCGAACGGCTGTGAGACAACAACTTGTTCCTCACGTTCTACGCTATCAGAGCAAAATCGGCTAACTCTCACACTCTCATACACTCTCTCTCTTTTCTCGCTCCCCATTGAGCTCCTCCGCAAAGTGGTCGTGGGCCACATCGTTGGCAACATTAGCACCGTTGAGCACAGCGCACGGGATGTTCAGTTCCACCTCAGCCAGACACCAGACCAGGTAAAGTCTGTTCAGCATCAGCCTAGCATGGCCTCAATCAGCTGTGTACCCGTGGTGATGGACCCTGTGTCGCGGTTGATCTCAAGGTAGCCTGCAGAGATGGGTCTGAGAACGGCAAAGCGACACTTCATCAAGCGGAATTCTTCGCCTTTGACCAGCGAGACCCCCACGGCATCCGGCAGCACAGAATCGCGGATGGAATTTAGCAGCCCCGGTAGGAATTGGTGCGGGAGCACGAAGACAAGTATGTGAGCGTCTTTGACTGCGGCCTTTGCATCTGGCTCAGCATACCTTAGCCAGAGCACCGTCAAGGAAGATTTAGCATGCTAGGATATGCTAGAATTCACTTGCAGACTTACACCTGTAAACCCGCTTCAACCATATCTCAACAAGTCTTATGACAAGACGCAGGTTGTGTGGCAACTCAACACCAGGCAGGTACTTCACGTTCTCGTGCTCCTCATTAATGATGTCGGTGAGCTTGCGGCCCTCCACCATCTCCTCACAAATAGGCAGATGAGCTCCACACGCTGTGCAGAGTTCTTACAGCTACGCTCCATCTGCTCATGCCATTCCAACCTCTCCTCGTGCACCCACATGGCAACGTCTTTCTGAAACTCAGTGCGCTGCCTTGATTCTCATTGCAAACCTTTCCCACAGACCCAAGACCCGATACTGTACTGTTTGACAGCTTTCTCGGTGCGCTGCAGCGCGTTCCGTGCAATAATCTTCGCAATTGCGCAGCCCCAGTTGCCGGATCCAAGCACAGCAACCTGGCGGCACGTAAAGTTCGAAATTTGGACAGTCAGCAAGCTGAGCACAAAAACTCAGGTCTCAAGTCCAAGCATGGTGCTTGGGGAAGACCTGGCCTTCATGGCCTTTGAGGCACGTACCCGCGGCACAGCCATCTCTGTCAGTGACTCTGGGGCTGCTTTGCCGGCACAGATGCGGTCCACACGGGCCAGGAACGGGAACTCGCTCTCGGCCCGATGGGATCGAACAAAGGCCGCACAGGTCCGCAGCACGGCGATGCCCGCGGGCTCGCCGCTTCGAAGCTTCTCGCGAGCAACCTGCTCCCAGCCCTTCTGCGGCTCCCTGGCGAAGGCCTCAGCACAGCGCCTGGCAGAGCGTGGAGCGCATGCAGGAGTGTGTGGATGAAGGGCTGCTTGCATCTTGCCAGCCTCGTTCGTGAATCCCCATAGCTGGAAGCGATGATGTCCTTAGCATGATGGAGGGCAACACCAACTTTCATTCAACAACCCAGCAACTGCAGCCAAGTTGCTGTGATGCCGCAAGCTTCTGTCAGGGCTTCCTGAATTTTGGCAGGTGCCCTTTGCGTACAATGCAATTCGTACCTACCGTCTCAGGCCTTGGAAGCCTCTTCCGGGTAGAAGCGCTTGGCAAATTTTGCCAATTCCACAGACCCCAGACCTTGGATCATGGCGAACATAATCCAAGAGCAATGCCTCCTCCTTGCGGCCATTGCTAAGCGGGAGCCATGCAGAACCCATTTTTGTATGGAGCATCTTGGGCTTGAGGTCTGAGACATGGTAACCTGGTACTTGTAGAAGCATTTTTTTGAAGCCAAGGAGCGAATCACTGCGGCCTTTGAGTTGTGGCCGAGCTCGAGCCCATCGCAAAAGCCTCAGCTAAGCCGGCTTGTCCTGACTGACGCCCGGCTTCTCAAGCGTAGCGGCGTAGCAGCGTCTCAAGTCTTGAAATACATGGAATAAGGTCTGGAATGATAAGTGATGAGAAACTGCTCTGTTCATGGCAGAAGCCCTACGTTCCACGCAAGTCCAACTTCAAAGGAAGGTACCTGCCCCCACTGCGATGATTGCCTTGAGGACTGCAAAGAGTTCCACAGCCTGCCAGCAGGAACCAGAGTGGGTGAAGAGCAGCTTCACTCCAGTGCAGTTTGCACTCTGAGATGTCAAGCGGCTGTTGGGCTGGGAAGGCTGGTCACCTTAGAGCCAGGCGGCGGCAATGCTGCTACGCTGCTACATGCGTCTTGCCCAAACCTTGCCCAGGTGCTGCAAAGTTGGGCTTCTTGAAGAGCTCCAGCAAGACCTCCGAAACCTTGTAACAGAACGGCCAAATCAACAGCTCCATCAGGTCGGGCCTGCGTGGTCTACGGGATCTATTCATTATTTGAAGGATGCTTCCCCATTGCTGGCTGCCACCAGGCCTTTGGATCTCTGCAGCCCAATGTGGCCTCGGCAAAATACCTGACAACACGCATTTGCGCGAACGACCCTGGCGGGGTCTATGAATCATGAATCTATGGAATGGCGCGAGTGCTCGGTCTTGTCTGTGCGACGAATGGATTTGAAGGATAGTTGAGCAAAACAGCCAGCTTAGGCTTTGTAGGTCATGCGACCCACGGGCCACATCCGCTGCCAGCGTCCCGCCCATGAGCACTGCTGCCGGGATCCCTCAGCTTCTGTGGGCTCCCCGTGGGCTCCCCGTGGGCTCCCAGTACCAAGTCAGAGGTCAGCTGTCAGCTGTCTGATGGGTCTCGGGCCAAGGGCTTCACTGACAAAATCACTGCCGAAGTGGAGCAGCCCCTTGTCCTTGGGCCGGTGGGGCATCAGTACCTTCGACATCACCTAGGCAGCGCTGGGGTGCTCGCAGCTGGTTCCACTTACACTCAGAAGCGCAGGAGAAATTCTAGACTTCAGAGCGAGTTGCAACAGCTGTTGCTGTGCTTTTAACCTTGCCCCGCAGCTGTCCCACAACGTCCTTCCAAGCAATGCAAGACAACCTTCCAGCATCTACTTCCTCCACATGTCACCGGCACCTTCTCTGATTCTGAGTTTAGGGAATTCACGTGCCCGCAGTTGTGCTACACTGCTTAAAGCCCTCCCCAAGGGGTCCGCCATGTTCTCACGTGCCACCACAAGGATCAGCAGGTCGGCATCCTTGGCAGCCTGGTCACCACTCCAGACTCACCCCGACTCAGCAATGCTCCAAAATGGGCAGAAGCTGCACCCGCGGACTGTACTGGCACTTGCGCTCCATAACCTCTTGGACCCTTGGAATTGCAACAGCCTTCACAAATCACTAAGCGAATTGCATTCCACAAAAACTGCCCGAGGCCTCTGCAGCATCAGCGGTGGCTCGGATGTTCCGCGGCAACCTCAAGCCTGGCAGATTCTCTTCATCGAAGCCCGTGGAATTGATGTGCGCCGCTGTCTCTGCTGACGGCACCCACATGGGCAGCGGCTCCTGCTGGGGCATCTTCGACTGTTGCAGCTGCAGCTGCTCTTCGACACTATGACCCTTCTTCATAATCTTATGTGCTTTCAAGAGTCGCCCGTGGATATGGATCGTAACTGAGTATCTGCTCATTGGGTTTAGGCATAAGCTGGAGCTGCCGGAAGATGCTAATGGCCCAGAATTGCCTTCTGGATGTTGATTCGCATCAACTAGGTGTCCTCGAATCGAGGAAGGTGAAGAAGCGACTGCCCGACTTGGCGCGCCACGCCGGTCCCCCAGGAGCCACAACAGAAGCAGGCCACTCGAAGTGTCTGCACTGGCTTTGGGGGCGCTTCGCCACGGCAAGTCAGAGCATTGGTAAGTGACCGCAGAAGGCAAACCACGCCTTACAGCAAGGCATTTGAATCAACCTGGATATTTTTCATTTTAGCAACTGAAGCCGAGACCACTTGCCTGCTGGATTGTCGAAGTTTTTGGGCATCACGAAATGCGAGACGGCCTTGGTCTTCTTCACGGCCTCAGCTGGCTTTGCGGTCTTCGCTGCTCGTTCCTGCACATCACTGGTGCGACGAAGTCGCGTTGCCCATTGCGCAAGCCACACGGACAGACTGCAACATCTCCTCGCGTATGAATCTTGGCGTAAAAGCAGCACCCTTTCTCCTTGAACATCTCATTCTCGATAACTTGAGGGGACGCGGCTGTGACAAGCAGAACTTGTGCGCTTTGGCTTCAGTTCTAAGCGCTCAAGGGGAACTTCTATGCGCTCAAGGAAATCGTCTCCAGGTCGTTCTCAGAATCCCCAATAGCACAGACCTGGCAAGTTGCTCTCATCGACTCTGCAAACCACCAGAAGCGAAGCATCCAGGATGTCAGACACATTGTGCATGGCAATGCATGCAGTTTCCAGCAACGAGCCGGCTACCCGCGAAGGAACGACATGCAAAAGAGGCCGACAACATTGAACCACTCTGTGAGAGCAGATTTATGTGGCCACAAGCGTGTCTTTTCATGCTTTCTATCTCCCACTGGCCTCAGCCATGCTAAGTTGGAGAGCCTCAGGTGAGCATGGTGAGCCAAACATGCTTTTAGGATAGTCACGTCTAATCAAATGTTAAAGCTTTCAAATGAGCAGAAGAGCCTCCAGGAGCACGTGCAGGCCTGCAGCCTTGTTTGTTCCAGGAGCCATGATATCAATCCTTAGCTGTGCAGCCGGCAGTTCCTTTGAGAGCACTGGCGCAGCTGTACACAAGCCGCAGACAGGAGGCGTGGTGGGCAAAGACTGGGCATAGTTGGCAAGGCCTTTCACGCAGTCAGCCACCTGCGGCTTGATGGTGTCCATGTCATCTGGACTGCAGATGACCCGCATCATGTTCACTTTCTGAGGGATCTCTGGAGACTCCCATCCGCCCTTCACTTCTAGCGGGTCCGGATCCTGCAACACAACACCAGCAAATTGCAAGCTCTTCGGAACAAGACTAAGCCGAATTAACGGTCCAGCAGGTGCTTGTGCATGAAGAGGGCATATTCTTCTGAGCGATCCATGACGTAGTGAGCATCGCCCTCCACAAAAAGAATCGAGGCCTGGCGACCAGGTGCAGAAAGAGGCGAGGCGCATGCGGCGCATGCGGAACAGATCAAGGTCCCCTTCCACCTTGTCTCGGTGCTCTCGGCCCCAGTCCACCATTCGCTGAAGCAGCTGTGTGGGCAACGTCAGGTTCCGCAGCATCTCCCCTCCCTTGCCTCTGGCATCTGGGCTTCTCGCGTGCACAAGACGCACTTTGTACAGTTCCCAACGCCTTTCACAGTGGTGCCGTTCAGATAGACCCCAGGCATGGCATCAATGTCCAAGCCTTTCAGCACACCTCACGAAAAAAAAATACAGCAGGAGGCCGCAGCAAGAACTCTCCGGGGCCTCGCGCAGAGCCCAGATCTCGTCCTGTACAGACCGCAAAGGCCCCGCCCGCTTTCTGGTACTCCGCGATGGCATCGAACGTGCCGGCTGCCTTGCAAAGCGTAGGTCCACAGCACAGCTCCGCAAGAAGGCATGTCAAGAAGTGCTTTTCTTGCGAGGGGCTGGCTTGTGGTGAGGGTCCAGGAGCGTTCCGTCAAGGTCCGAAGCCAAGAGCTTCACTGATGCCAGCAGGGCATCATTGGTGATCATTGAGACTATATCAACTTTATGCTAAGAACCTGTCCCTCCAAATCACACTGCCATAACTTGTTTTGCATTGGCAGCACCCAGTAAAATGTTGGGTCTTCGAGTCTTCAGCCCTTAGCGGCTTCTCTGGTATGAGTATGGGGCTCAAGCCAACTGTCCGCGGTTCAGACATGCCAAGGTCATGCGTGATGCCTGCTGCAGTGATGGGGCATGGGCAGGGCGGGGTGTACCCGGACGCCATAGTCTGACAGGAACTCGGCTGGGTCCAACATCCGCTTGAGCAGTGACCGCATCCTGAGAAAGCAGAGAGAGTAGCCCAAAGAAAAGTGGTTGTTATGCTGCAGATATATCTCGATCTCGTCTCTTTTTGACTTGGTCTCAGTGAGCGGCCGGTAGCCGCGCAACAGGGACAGGAGCCGACGTTCCCCGCGGCCGGGCTAAGCAGAACAAGCAGAAGCAAAAGGAGAACATCGTGTGTTGTTGGTGTTGGCGCTTTGTGTAACTTCGCTTGACACACTTCCTGCCTCCACAAATCGCGAGACAAGGCAGGCCAAGTCAGGGCGGTTGTCGAAAAGCCACTGCCTAGCAGGATTTCAGGCAACTTTCAATTTCCAGTACTTTCTCCGTGCTGGCAAGCAGCGTTTGGCTGGCAAAGCGCGGGAGCTTCTTCAGCATGTCCTCTTACGCGAAGCTTTCAAGCTTCCAAACTCACGCATCTCGCCTGCACTCTAGCCACCATGCTGTGATCTGAGTGTCCCACAGGCTCGAGGACCTACCAGCCAGGAAGGGCAGAGCCCCAAACGTCTCCTCACCTTCCTATTCACCTCTACAGCAAAGAGGGGAATCAGGCCGACGATGGAACGAAGCTTGATTGGCTCCTCAGCGTATCTGCCGGATTCGAACATCTGCACGAATCTATGCGCTGGCACAGCTCAGGCACGAGCGCGGCTTCCATCGGGGTTGGCCAGCACATCGTAGTAGAACTGCGCTTGGCTAAGCAGCTAAGCAGGCGCCGCTCCAGAAGCAAAGCTTGTGGGTCCGTCCCTTTCCTCATCAACTGGATCCCAGAGTCCATGCTCGGCATTGTCCGCAAGCCTTGTCATGGCCTCGGCATCCCAGTGTCGGAAGTTGTGCAGCGGCCAGCTGTCAAGAATCGGTCAGAACACCAGGTGGTGGGGCATGCCATGCCGAGAGATTCTTTGAGTTACTTTTTTGATAGGTTTGCCTTTCAAGTGTTGTGTGCTGGGCGAATGGTATTCAGGGCAGCCGATTCCTGCTTGTGGAAGACATAATTCAGACCTCGTCACATCCCACCCGTGTCCACCCGGGCTGCTTGCCAGCTGACAACACTCCTTTGGGTCTGGCAGGGTGATGCGACAGTGAATAACAAGACTGGAAACTTTGGATTCCGAAAGGTTGGCAATTCTGAAGAGTGTTTCTGAGCAGGGCGGCGCGGGCAATGTGAAGAAAGTGCTCCAGGAACTTGCACGCAATACTCTCGTACCTGTCGGCGATTGACTGGCAGTGGCAACAACGTTTCCTCGACTGCGGTGTTCTGTGTCGGCGCACACCGGGTTGTGGAGAGCCAACTCGAGGGCCATGCGCATCAGGGTGAGGCCTGTCTGCCAAAAAAAACAAAAAAGAAACGAGTACGCTCTAAACCGCGCCCTTCCATTTTATCCTGGGTCTGGCGCTGTAGAAAGCCATCCAGCTCGTACCATCAGATTGGTTGATCATACCACCTAAGAAAAACTGCCTACATTTTAAGAGCACAGCGTGACAGAAACATAAGATGACTTGCATTACGTAACTCGGAGGCGTTTCACTTCCTTCCTCCGAGCTGGAGGCCATTGGGAAACGGCTGGCTCCTATCGACCACACCGATGTTGTCCAAGCCTGGCTCCAGTGCAAGCCTCCCTTCCTCCAAGCTTCCGTTCACTCAAATGTGACATGCGCTTTTCACGAAAGCTGCTCGTGCAAACTGGTCTCACCTAGGAAGCCACCTTGGAAGATATTCCTGCCCACTCAGGCATTGTGCATGACTGAGCAACAACATGGACTGCCCAACTAATGCTTGACGGTCCTGCCCTCGGCATCCTTGCGATTCACCCACCAGGTGAAGTTCAACCTGCTGTGCAGCTCGACTCCAAGCCGTCCATGCAACTGGTTGCGGCCGTGGCACATGAGCTTGTGAAAGAGCTCCTCCAAGAAACCTCCGACGGAACGGCATGATCCCTAGCTCAACAATCACCTGGCTCTCTCCCATGATACCGCGTCTGAGTCATTATTCATCTTTATTCCTCATCGATGAACACGTTTGGAACTCCACATCCGATTTGCTCATGCTCCAGCAAGCATACAGTTTCGTTTGCAGGTGGAAGAACGCGGTCTGTCCCCCCTGGACAAAAACGTTAGGAAAGAGAGTATCGGGCTCTGGTGTGTTTTATACGGCTAGTTAGGCTAGTACATCACTCTACAGTACGGAGTGAGCTAGTTCTGCAACCCCGGTCGCCAGCAAGTCCAACTCCACATCATGGCACGAACACATCTCTGTGAGGAACTTTGGGTCAAGTTAATTGTACCGTCGAGGCCTCGTGTTTTTGCCTGCGTTTGGCATGTTCTCACTGACAATGTGTGAGCAGCATTCGCTGCCTAGATTCAAATGCAAGACTCCACAACTGCTCAAACACCGTCTGCGGCCGGTGCATGCGCTGGGCGAAAAGCCTGGCCTCGTGCTCCCCTGGACCCCAGGCGGCGCCTCTGAGGATGGTGTTGCTCTTGGCGCGGGTGCCCCGGCCGGCCGTCACTTCGGGGATGGCTGCCAGGCTGGCGACAGATGCGACAGGCTGCGGACTATGAGGTCCACAGGCACGAGCATCACAACACCAACCAGCTCTGCCGAAATGAAGGTCTGCGATTCCTCCCGCTCGTGGTGGGCAGGATGGGGAGCCATCGCGGAGCGCGCTTGGCGGGCCTTGGGAAGCGCGGTGGCAGCCAAAACGGGCGAGCCTGTCGCAGAAACTGCCCTCCGAGCCCTGTCTCTGGCACGCGAGAATGCTCGGGCGGTTCTTCATGATTAGCAGAGCTCTCGCGGGTTGAGCCATGATGCCTTCTCTCGTTCTTTTCACTGCTTTCTAGCGGGCCTGACTGGCCAGGGGGGGCCCGGGCACACCCTGAACTCCACCGCCGCCTCTCTCTTTCATCGTTTGCCCGTCTGCGGCGGGGGGCGGCTTAGCCGCACTCCGTGCCCATCTTATCTTTCTCCGAGTGTTTTCTCTTCCACTTGCCTGAAGGGACACGAATTAGCTGAATTGCCCGCAGGGTCTGTTCTGAGCTCGGCCAGTGGGCGAGGGACTCCTCTAAGGAGTCTAGGGAGTTGACCCCTGGACCCAAGAGCTTCGGACCAATGATTTGATTGGAGATTTTTTCCCTGTCATCAATCATGCGAAGCCTGTCATCTAACAAAATACACAAGAGCAAGGGCCTGAGGATCCAGAGCACCTGAGAGCAAGGTGTGACAGCATCGTGGAAGTGCAAGGCAGGGCCATGGTCCTTTCGACCACTTGTCCTAACCCGTGCTTTTCTTGAGCTCATATTACACAATAAGATGTTGTATTATATAAACATATAAAACTCAATAACTTGAAGGTGCATGTTTTGTATTGTTTGGCGAGGCGGGAGTCGGCAAAACAGTCTTCATCATGGAGCTAGTAAACACCCAGAACTGCAGAAGACGACGCCATCGAAGGAGTTTGCATGTGAGTGTTGGCTACATTTCTTTTGCGGGGAGCTGTGCTTGTTCTTTATGCCTTGTTGAATCACCTTTGGAAGTCCAAAGTCGAGAGCTGGAGGCAGGAGCATGGCTTGAGAAATTTCAGCGAGACCCATCCTGAAAAGTGGCAACTGACTAGTGGCGTATTCTCTCGACTGCTTCATCAGATGCAGAGTTCTGTCACCATGTGTATTGAGGTTGTCGCAATACGTCCTTAAGACGCAACGGTGATAAGACAAAGACTGCAGCTGTAAATGCGCCAAGCTTGAATCCATTTGAACACCCTTGGCGATGAAATCCCACTGGTCTCCAGAAATAAGCGTGATCTGTAGGAGATGGAATATTGGGAAACAATAGCCGCTTGTGGGGCAAGCGCGAATCAAATTTGCTGGTGTGACGAGACGAGCCTTGGCACCATTACCCCAAGTGAACGTAGCTTGTTCCAACTGATGCTGCTCTGCAGGTCAGATCCATGATGAATGATGTCAACATGTGTCAACTCTTGTGCGCTACTGGCATGTGCATTCAAGCGGGAAGTCTATGAGGACGTTCTTTCTGCTGTACATTCGCTGGGATCCCCAGATTCCACCGAGTCCTGGCCTAGATCTCCATCGTCAGCACGGTTTTTTCGGTCCATCTGGAAGACCCGCCACACTGCCCAGGCCTTGGAGTACAGCTACCGGATACGCAGCACGGTCATGCATACTGTATCAGGACCAACATGCCATCTTGGAGAACCATGACCAGTCGTCCTATAGCGATTGTCTGAAATTTTGCAATGTCCCGCGGCCAATTTGCTGGAGTCTTGGCCAGCGCACGTGCACTGGAGGGTTGACATCGTTGAAGTTCCATTCGTAGGCCGGGAATTGTCCGTTGGGATGCATGAACCTGTCCAGCCGTCCAGCCCAAGGCAGGTTCTTCTAAACATCAGGGTTCTGAAGATGTCTGAAGACTGAGGCCGACACCTTTCCTGCACGAACGTCTCACATTACATGTTTTGAATGGATTGAGAATGAGACAAGCGCCCGAACCAAGGCGGCGCCTGTGTTAAAAGCCGCAGCTGTTCCTGTGCATCTGTCCGAATGAGGATTGAATTGAAGCTTTTTGCGAGTGTCCTTTGCAAACTGGGCATCCACCAGAGCTAGTGGCAAGCAATGAAATGCCAAGTCCTCAGTGTTCGAGCTGGGTTGGCCAAGAAACCACTGCGAAATGACCCGGGTATCCAGCCCAGGTAGCATACCAAGGGTACTCCCATTTGTCCTGCCAAATGGTTGCTGGGCCGCACAAGCCTGCGCTAAACTGCTCACCTGGAAGAGCCCCGTTGAATGTAGATTACATCAGCGCTCACCAACTTTTACCGTAAACAATGCATGTATACGCACACAACTTGGAGAGCTGCACCGGCATGGAGATCACGTCGGCATTGTACAAGTGGTCCCAGTCTTCATTGCGACCACCTCATAACCCAAAAGAGGGCTCACTTCAACTGTCCGGGCATGCCCATGGTGAACGACTTACCCGTGCTTCAAACAAAGAACTGAACGAACAAGAGGCATGGCCCTGCCTTTATGTATATAATGATACACATCTTCCTGCACATCATGCCCTGCACTTGCCCTACACTATGCGAATGTAGGTGAATAAACATGTGGATTTACCAGGACATGAGCTGGACCGCCAGCGTCTGAGGCAGCAACCACGGCTTGGTGGTTTTTCGCGGCCCTCATCGCCTGCCCGAGACGCAATCCATGCGACAATGCCAGAACACAGCAGACAAAACAGTTAAGGCAGAGATTTGTTAGAAGCCTGCCGCGCCAGCAGAAAGGAGAGTGACATTCTATGGGACTCATGAAGCAGAAGTTCAATACAAGCAGGAAAAACTCTGCTTGCACAAAACCTCATGCCAGCACTTGGGAAATCACACGAACTCATGCTGCTGCTGTTGCTGCCATGGCGACGCTGGCAGCTTTCATGAAAACGGAGAACCCCAGATTCTAAGGGAGCCCCATTTTTGGGGAAAACCTTCAATATGGGACGACCAGCTTGTTTGGGGCATCCATGTTCCCCTCGCCGGCAGCTGCGAGGGCAACTCCACGCTATCGATGAGTGGAGCAGACGCGTCTTATGCGGAATGCAAGCCTTCAAGAAATCCAAACATCTGGAGAAGATGCTGTTGCAAGCCTCATGTCGGTGAATTTTGGGCGAAGTCCAGCCATGTCTGCTCTCTGTCATTATTAGAGGTGGCAAGGTCTGATGATTCAATGATGGAGCGCGGCGGCGAACTCTATGCAAGCGCACAACCGCCGGCTGAATTACGAGTCTTGGAGACGCGGGCCGTGCTCCAGTGATCAAGAAGCGCTTCTGCACGACATGCTGGTGCTGCTGCGGCTCCTCTTTCTACTGCTCTTGGGCCAAACCAAAACAACAGCAACGCCGCTGCTGTTACAACTACGACTGCTGCTAGTTTGAAGACGCGGACGCTTCCCGCGACATTATGTGCAGCTGACATGCTTAGCATTGCATAGGGGATTTAATGATTCCACGGATGTAGCAGGAAGCTTGGCAAGCACGAGGCCCTGTGAGGTGTGTCAAAAAAGTGTGGTTGCGAAGGTGTCGCTTAATGCGATTCACATTTGGTACTGGTAGAGACCCTTGCACCAGCAGCGCTGTTGATACCTTCGCGCATTTGCGCAACAGTTGTGACGTGGTGGAAATTTCCATGAGCTCGCTACGCATGCTAGACATGCGGACTATGACTATCAGGTTAGGCAATTGAGCATTTCAAGTTATGGTATTCAGACAAAGCGTGTCTAACCTCTGCGCTGCGCTGACCTTGAGATGCCCTGTCGTCACACGGAGGTCATTTTTTGCATCTAACGTTCAGTAGTTCTTGGAGGGATCTCTGGAAGCGCGCAACTAGGTCTGGACGCGTTTGTCTCACACGCAATGCCGAGACGGATACGCTTTCGCATGTTAGAAGAGGCCAGCCTGAGAGCCAGGTCCGGATGTCGTAGTAGTAGAGCCTCGGAGCGAGAGAAGCTCTTCGACGAATTTGATGCACTGTGAAATTGGGAGCGCTTTCGGCCAAGCTGCTGCTTGGTCCAGATCATGCCCGCGAGCGCCTCTCACGGGGGTACCGATGGCGCAGTGTGTGGCTTGGCCTTTTGCGTTGTCAGACCCAGCTTCTTACGAAACTTCAGAATCTGCTAGACTTCACTGCAGTCGCTCGGGACTGCAATGGGCCATGGCATGATGATGGCCCCTTGCCTGGCGGTGGATGAGCCGTCGCTCGGGGCACATGATGTCCTCCTGTAGCAGACCGTAGAACCTGGTTCGCAACGGCTTCTGCTGTGGGCCAGGGCGGGGACACTATGACTACCGTCATAAATGTGTTGCAATGTGGTGTGCGGGATGGCACATCTTTTCTACGCCGAGTAGTACGTACGGTAACACCTCGTAAATTGCGAGTATTTTAGCTAGACTTCATCCCCCAGTCCACCTCTCGGTCTCATCTCTCCGCGACCCGAAGATCGCGTCGAAGTCCAGGAAGGCTCCTTGCGGAAAGCCTTGGCTTTGGGACTATGACTTCTTGTCAACTCTAGTCCCCATGCCTGTCGGGCTGAAACCTTCAACTCAAATCCATCTCATGTCCATGCCTTGACATGTACATCTTGACGCCTTCACATCTCTGAGGCACCGACTCTTTTGGGCGCAGGTGAGGCGGAAGCGAAAGCTCACGTGGCTGCCTGCCGCCACTTTGTGCCTCCCAAGGGTGCGCATTTTGGGTCTTTTTGGTTCTCAGGGCTTCCAAGAACGTCTGAATGAACACAGTTTGAGGACGGAAAGCGGCCTCGTTAGCAAGCCTACCTTGGTCCCGCTGCTGGTGGACACCGCTGCCTGCAGCGGCCGAGAAGTTCCAAGAGCCCGTTCCAAAATCCGTCACTCCAAGGACAGTCTTAACCCCGGTCCATGCCAGGAATGAAGACGGTCAGGGACAGCAAGGATCTGCACCCTAATCGGGCAACGGCCGACAGCAATGCCGACAACGCTGCACCTTGTCACCGCGAATCACGTAGTCATGGAAACCATCCTGACAATATCATGTCGGCAACTGTGTATGCATCGTCGAGCAGGTGCTGTCTGTATGTATTAGCTCTTGGTGATATTGCTCCTCCATTTACTGGCACGTTCTGCTGCTATGTTCTACCAGACACAACTGCTCTGAGCCTTGAAGGGGCCGGAGGTCCGACCACTGAGATGGTGTGGGAAGCCCTGGTCGACACCGGTCTCTTGGCCCTGAGAACTACACACGAAGGAAATGATGACAGAATGTGATGGCATCTGAATGTTGCACCATATGGGTGCCCGGCTTTCTTCGCCGGCTCCGGGCCTAGAACCTTCTCTTGGAAGCGACGCCAGAGGCCGAACCAAGCGTTAGGCTCCAGAGATCGGAAGTCGCCACCAGCAACTTTGGGGGTGCCCTCCACGGGCGCTGGCTCCTTGCTTGCTTCGCAATCGCAACCACAAAGATTCTTGAAGCTGTGCCTGGTAGGGACTCAGCGCACCTGGGCGATTTGCTGGATCCTATCTCAGGCTTTGGCGGCTGGTGCTCACCCTCGCCTCCCCTCACGCGCAGATCATTGGTATCGTTCTCGCAGAAGATCACCTCCCACGGCCACAGACTCGCACGTCCACACGATGCTATTACAGCCACCTCTGGCTCTCCATCCAGAAAGAGGTTGAAGTTACCCAGCTTATCATGCCTGCTACAACCCTCTGTTGCAGGTCTGTCAGTCTCTGCATATCGTAGCTTGTAAACGCGGCCGCAGTACGCCATCTCTATTCGCTTCATCTCCGAAACATACTTCATTGCAGGCTTTGCGCTGCCCTTCTTCCAGGACCAGACGTTTCGGAACCAGGCCTGAAAACCAGCAAAGGAGCAGTAAACAACAAACAACCCTGCTTTTGCATTCCGCAGCCTGTGGCAGCAGGCAGAGCTCCGCCTGTTCTCGGCATTGAGATCACAGAGCCGTCGTGTGACACGCGATTGGAACTCGCCTCCTCGCCTCCGCGGTTGTGCGCCGTGATCTTCACCTGTGCCACACAACCTCTGCTCAAACAGCACATTTCTGATAGGAGGCCAGCCAGCGTGTCGTCCACATCGGCTTGAGCATACCTAGGCACGACGGAGCACCACAACGCGTCATGGTAATAGTACAGAAGCAAAGTGCTGAGCTCGACAACGACGTCAAAGTACTTGTTGTCGTCCATGATTCCCGTGTCGAGCAGCTCGTACTCCCTTGGCACCACTTGGCTCGCACATGCTCAACAGGGAATCAAACCTTGGCCAAAGGGCAGCAGCAGTGGGTCTTTCTTCCTTTCAAAGTTGACCCGTCGCAGCTCGTCGTACGGATACTTCGCCTCAAGAGCCAGCACGCTTGCCGGCATGGCCTTCTGAATGTCTTAGCTGGCCATACTCTGGGCTTTGGAAGTTCATCGTCGTTTATGCTGTTCCCAATTTTAACATATTCGGAAAGAGATTTCTTCCCGTAGTTTTCGTTCGTCTTGATTTATCTTGTGGAGGTGCCATGTGTCTGCCTGCTGCCATCATCACAACTTTCAACCCCAGCTGGCTTCGTGACCCACCTTGTTTGGGCTCAATGTTGCCGTTGCAACATCGTGATATGCCGGGGCGACCGTGGCCTCGAGTCCCTTCTGTCCCCATCACGGGTGCAGCTGATCTACCACTGGAACTGTGTGCGCTGAGATTTGTCGGTCATGAAGCAGGTCCTTTTCCTTCGAAGCCGGAAGACCTGTGACTTCCGCGAGAATACGCGTTTGCGCACGTCCTTCTGTACACGTATATACTCGGCCGGAAACTGGGAAAGTCCCAGGAAACGAGGTCCTGTTGACTGATGTTGTTCGTTCTTCTTTTCATTCTCGCAAGACTGTAACTAGCCCTTGATGCATTTATGTTTGGCAATCTTCACGTTCCCACAGTTCATTGTTTTCCGTATTCTCCAGTTATGATTGCTTCTATGTTTAATTTTTGCATTCTCATTTCCAATGCGAATGAAGCAACCGCAACGAGTAGCCAGTAGGAGAGCCGCAGAAAAGCTACTTGGGCAGCCTTGTCTGAGCTTGCTCGCGCTTCACCTTGCGCTGCGAGAGGCCACTATGCACTCGAGCACTAAACGGCCTTTGTCAGCCTTCTCGCCGGGCAGTTGCCAGCCCACAAGTATCTCACTAGCTACCTGTACTCTGACTGCTGCTTGTTGCCGTGCTCGCCCTTACCCTTATAAACCTCATGGGTGTCGGAGCTCGCAAAATGCTTCCAGAGAAAGGCTCCGAAGCTCACGAAAAAGCAGTGCATCGCACCTAAAAACAACTTCAAGCGTTTAGCCCTAGAACATGCACATAGTGACATAGTACACACGCTGTTGCCATGGTTGTTTGCGTCGCTGTTTTTGCGGGCCATCGTCCAATTTTCCTTATCTAAGTTGAAAGGACAAACCCCAACACGTTCAAACAGAAGACAACAAGAACCAAGTTCAAGTTGTAACAGGGGAAAGTCCGAACAAAGAAGATC